TTTGGGATACATAGAAAGTGAGCCCACGCATGCACAGTAAGGATCGAGAGTGTGCATACATGAGGTCGCACACACGCACACGCACGCACACACCGTGGTAAGCAGGAGAGTGGCCCAACATGGCCATTCTGCAAGGTCTGCAACCTGCAAATGGTACTTTGCAGATGCAATTAATGTTATAGCCCCAGATGGGGAGGCTAACCAAATCTAATGACATACATCCTTAAAAGCATGTGTGTCTCCCAGGCAGGGGCACGCTGGTGGCCCCCAGAAGCTGGAAAAGGCAGGGGATGCTCTTCCCTGCAGCCCCCAGAAGGAACACAGCCTTGCAGACAGCCACCTTAATTTTAGCCCAGTGAGACAGATTTCGGACTTCTGGCCTCTAGAGCTATAACCTTACCCATATTGTTTTAAGCCACTAAATTTGTGGTCATTTATTACAGCAGCCACAGGAAACTCACATACACATATTTATGCAAAGCCACAGAAGGAACGGGGAAGATGCCCCATCCTGGCAGTGAGGGGGGCTTGGAAGTTGCATTCAGCCCTCTCTTGTGTGGCTCTGATCTCTATGCCTGTGTGTTCATGAGCTAGTTCTGGGATAAAAATGTAACCCAGGAGAGAAGCAGTGGAGGACAAGATGATGGGGCAGAGTGGTCCTAAGGGATGAGAGTGGCAGGCAAAGGCGGTCCCCCCAGGGCCAGAATTTGTGGGTTTGGGGGAAGGAAGTCTCACTCTAAGCACTGGCTACCCTTCACACTCCCTCCTCCACAGAACCGAGGCGACATGTCTGCAAAACCTAGTCCTTCAAAGTGGGGCTGCCCACAGATAGCTGGCAAAGGAGCAGTGTAGGGAAGCAGGGGTCCCTGAGCAGTTTTACATACTTCAAAGGCCTGTCGGGGCCCCTGGAACACTGGCTATGTTGCTTGGATTGGACGAGGTAGCACACACAGCACTTCCCCGTCACGAGGTCAGCCTCTCTGGGTGAGTGGCCCCAGGAGAAGGAGTGGCTGCTGAGCCTCCTAGGTACTCCAAGAATCAGGAGATCAGAAAAAAGAACTTAGAGGGAAACCAGCATGGCAGTGGGGGAGAGGCTGGGCCAGACACCAGGGACGGAAATGATCACAAACCAGATCCTACACTAGAATCACTGACACACAGAACTCCTCAACAGTGCAAAGCTGAGCATCTGCCCCTGCCACCTGGTTTGTGGGTTCTCTCCGGGCCCATTTCGAGACAAAAACATACTGCATATTACATGTGACAACCACATTCTAACATGGTAAACCTGATCCAATATCCAGATGGGTGGATGGATGGGTGGATGGATGGGTGGATAGATGGATAGGTGGGTGGATGGATGGGTGGATGGGTGGATGAGCAGATGGATGGGTGGATTGATGGAGGGAAGGATGAGTGGATGGATGGATGGGTGGGTGGGTAGATGGATGGATAGATGGATGGATGGGTGGATGGACAGATGGATGGGTGGATAGATGGGGGATGGATGGATGGATGGATGCTGGGTGGGTGGATGGATGGGTGGATAGGATGGGTGGATGGGTGGATGGATCTGTGGATGGATGGATGGATGGATGGATGATGGATGGATGGATGGATGGACTAATGGATGGATGGATGGATGGATGAATGAGTAGGTTGGTGAATGGATGGATGGAAGGATGGAGGATGGATGAATGGATGGATAGATGGTTGGATGGATCTGTGGATGGGTGGATGAATTAATGGATGGATGGATGGGTGGGTGGGTGAGTGGGTGAGTGGATGGATGGATGGATGGGTCTGTGGATGGATGGATGGATGGATGGGTGGATGGATGGATAGATGGATGGATGGGTGGATGGATCTGTGGATGGATGGATAGATGGATGGATGCATGGATGGATAGATGGATAGATGGATGGGTGGATGGATGGATGCATGGATGGATCTGTGGATGGGTGAATGGATTAATGGAGGATGGATGGGTGGGTGGGTGAGTGGGTGAGTGGATGGATTGATGAAGGTGGGTGGGTGGGCTAGCTTCTCGCATGATATATAATAGTAACAATAGTTTAAGACTTGATTTCTCAACAGAAAAGGAAAGCAGTCAAAAATGATTTGCCTGTGGCAGGATGGACAGCTCCTTCACCAAGGGAAGGACACTGTCAGGGAGATGGCCCCCATGGGGAGAGTCCAAACTGCCACTGCATGGGCATAATCACAGCCACCATCTTGCTCCCCCTCAGTGAGGCCAAAGGTGAGCTCTTGTCTGCACAAGATGTCCCATGTCAGCCTTCTTCAGAGGAGGAAGGAATAACCGCTAGAGACAATGGTGAGCTGGACGCTGACAGGGCGGATGGTCAAAGAAACCCAATCCTAAGCGCGTGTGTCTCCTTACCTGCAGACCATCTCATCCACTCCTCTGGGCACCTGACATCCCAGCAAGAAAGCCGAAGCCACTGCTGGTACCTCGTGAGAGCTCAGCCAGGGCAGGTTGCCAGGAGGTGGGAGGCAAGCCTAAGTATCTTTCCATGTAGGTGGTCTCATCTTCTGACATCAGAGTTAGGTGGAAACCTCAAGTTACTGAAGCATTTAAACAACGCTTACTGTCTCTGAATTCACATTTCATTAAAGGCAGTAGATGGAAGCCCAGCAGCTGGGAAGCCTGAGCACTTGGCAGGTCCGTGACAGACGGGCCGGGCATCCTCCCCAGAAGACAGCGCCAGGCTCAGGTTGTCACAGTGACGAGACCTCACTGACCAGCTGGGGTTCCGTGGCCTGGGGCTCTGCTTGTCTGGCGTCCGTGGGGCACTTAAGTCCAGTCCCAGAGCTAGACGCCCACATCCACCTCCTGGCTTCCTGCTGCTAGCCATGCGGCACACACGCCGATAAGGATGTGGGATAACCCACGGACCTGTGTCTGCCCTGCAGACAGGAACAGCAGAGGCTCCCAGACTCAGAACACGACCGGTCTTCACTGTCATTTCCAGGGACACCAGGAAAGGTGCACAGAGGGCAAAGCCCAGCCTCGTCACTGTCCTGCAGCCACACCCCCACTCGGTGCCCCCTTCCCCAGGGGGGACAGTCCCCTGCTGGCTGACCCTCCCTTACTTGCTTTTCTCTGGGGCCTAAGGGACAAGCCCCCACATAGGCAGACTTGGCACCAGGTCCCCAACAGCGTGCTGACCCCTTGCCGGCTCCAGCCGCAGCAAAGGGGCCCCTCTAGCAGCCCTCCCCTCTCGACCACCTGCCTGGGCCCCAACCGGTGGCTGCACGGTCCCCCTCCCCCCTGCTCTCCCTGCGGGGACAGGAGGGAAGCAGGTAAGGAGGACACATCCAGCAGGCTGGACAAAGCTGCAGCCTTGCCAGGTGACCGTCCACACCCCACTGCCCCAGTGTGAGGGGAGCAGGGGCCATCCCTGCCCTGGAGCCCGGGGCCCCCATGCAGAACACACTCAACAGAAGGGACATGAAACGGTGCTTCAGCGGGAAACCTCTGTGGGCAGCTCTGGTTGGGTCCTGGGAAGGAAGCAGCACCCACCCTTTGGGCCTCCTTCCCCTACAGAGAACCTTACCCCCTCCACTCTCCCCCACCCACAGCCTCCCAATATCCAGGTAGCCCAAGGCCCTCACTCAGCCGGGATCCTCACACTCCTCACTGGGGGAACCGTCACCAACATGGAGGAGGGGCTAGGGGGTCCCTCACCCCCTTCCCTCCTGATCAGGGCCTTCCTCCTGCCCTGCTTGCCCCCATCAGGCGGGGACGGAAAGGCCCAGGGGCCTAGCAGTGGGGGATCCCCTGCTGAGAGGCCAGAGGAGGGACGATGCTCGCAGCCCCAGCGCTGGTTCCCAGGGACCCCCACCCAGCCAGGCCACACCCAGGAGGGATCCTCAGTGGGATAAATGCCTGACCCCCACCTTTAGCCTGGGGGGGCGTGGACTGTTAGCCCTGACAGAAGAGTCCCCCAGGGCTCTGCTGGGAACACGGCCTCCCTGACAGCCTGGGGGCCCTGCCAACGTGTGCAGATGTCCAGTCAGAAGTCCCTTTCAGGCCACTCGGCTGAGCAAGGCAGCCGTGGTTAGAGATGGTCCACACCCCACACCACCCTGCCTGGGCCGCGTGAGAACCGCCCTGCACCAGCTCCCAGCCCGCACCCAGTGTGGTCGAGCCCCCAACCCGAGGAGACCGGCTGGACCCAGCGGCAGGACCCTCGTGGGTACAGGCCCGGGATGGGCGAGACACGTGCGCAGGCCTGGCCCTCCCCGCCCCCCGTGCAGGAGGAAGCTATGCTCAGGTGGCCCCTGGGCTCTGCTGGCGGGAGCTGCACCCGCCCCACACACTCGGTGGACACAGCACAGACTCCCCGAGGAGGCCACGCGAGCCCAGCATCAGGTACGCGTGTGGGAACAAAGAGCTCACCGAGGCTGCCACTGCCCTGTGGATGACATCGAGCCCAGCCCACCCACAGCCCTGGGTGCCTCCCCACTGGGCCCCAGCCCACAGGCAGCCACAGGCCCCTCTGCTCTGCACGCACCGGGACCCCCAGAGCCGCCCTGTGTAGGCTGTTCCACTGCCATGACGTCCTGGCCACTGCTGCTCACATGCAGGGCTCAGCCTCCCCACTACCCATCTGTGGCAGCCATAGCCCCTTCCCTCCACCCTCCTCCCATTCCCCCTCCGTGGAGCTGGGCACCGGGGCCGGGAACTCACCCACGCACATCCCCCAGGGGCCCCGCGGGGTGACACCCCCGTCTTGGGGTCCACCCCCACCGGCCCAGCTCCAAAGCCCAACAACCCCAGGGACCAGCACAGGTCAAGCCTGCTCTCGGTGGGGGGCAGGACACACAGACCCACCAGAATGGGGCCGAGGCCTCGAGTGCGAACAGGAGCAGGCCCCGTGCTCAGAGGCCCACCCAGGGATATGCAGGGGCAGCTGACCGGCCAGCTCACCTGGCAGGACAGAGGGACAGGGCGGGGAGGGGGGCCAGCCAGTTACCTGCACCCGGCCCAATGAACACGCAGAGGCCATCCTCCTGGGCCGGGAGCGAGGCACAGGAGACCGGCAGCCCTCCCCCATCCAGGTGGCCCCAGCACGCGTCCTCCAGGGCCTCACAGAACTGGCGGCAGGGCGGAGGCGCGGGCGGAGGGCCAGCGCCACAGGGCGGGGCCAGCAGCAGGCAGAAGAACCAGGCGAGGAAGCGGTGGCAGTGCGTCTGGAGGAGGTGCCCCCATGCCCGGGCGGCGGCCCGCACCTCCTCGCTGCTCCCGTGCCGCAGGTGGTTGGGCAGCCAGGCACGCCCAATGCCCAGGTGGCCGCAGACGGGCAGGGAGGGAGGCAGGGGCAGGCAGCGGCCACCGGCAGCAGGGACAGGCTGCCCGGCGGGGGTCAGCGGGTCCGCCCCGAGCAGTGCAGAGAGATTAGCAAGACCAGGCCCCACAGAGTCAGCCACGTGAGGAGCCCGAGCGCCCCCGTCCCCGGGGACAGCTGAGAGCAGGATCTGAGACACCAGGGTGGGGGGGCCGGAGGAGCGAGCCGAGGGGCCGGTGAGAGCGCCCAGGGGTCCCGTCACCAGGGGGAGCAGAGGAGGCGTGCGTCTGTGGATGCCAGGGCGTCGGTGCTGCTGGCCGGGACGGGCTGCCATGCGCAGAAGTCCCCTGCTGTCCCGATCCGGGGATCGCCCCGGGGACTGCCGGCTCCCCCAGGGAGGGGCCCCACCTCGCGCAGAGGACGGAGAAGCTCTACCTGCAGCAGGTGGTGCTGGCGAGGGCCCGCCCGGGAAGGGAGGCAGCTGGGTGGGCACTGGCAGGGTGCCGGCCTCGGTCCTCTGGGTGTCCGGAGAGCTCGGGGCCCCGCTGCCCAGCCAGAGGGCGGTCCCGTTCTCCTGGGGGGTGCTGGAGGGCCCGGGGAGAGTGAGGGGGGCCGTGGGGGTCACAGGGGCTGGCGCCTCTGCCCCGGGGGGGCTCGTGGTGGGAGTGGCGTCATCCCACAGCTGGACAAAGCTCCGGATGCCCTGAGCCACATTCAGGATCTTGGCTCCCACGCCGGCGATGTTCTCCTCCTTCGTGTCCGGGCCCGCGGGGGAGGTACCTCCCGGGCCAGGCTCCGGCCTCTCCACGGGGAGCTCCGAGCTGGCAGGGGCTCTCCCCTGCTCCACGGGGCCATGCTGGGGGGCCACGCGTGTGCCGGTGTCCTCTCTGGGCTGCCCATGTGGGCTCCCCGGGGGCTCAGAGACCAGTTCGGCTGTGGGCCCGTCGGTCCTAGTGGACCACAGCCAGTTTAGGCTCAGCAGGTCAGCGCGGGCGGCCGCGAGGCAATATGTGACCAAGAGAAGCAGCAGCGGGGGGCCCAGGCGGCTGCCGGGGAGCCGAGCCATCAGTGCTGTGCCCTCGCAGGGCCTGGGCTGCCGTGTCTGTGTCCCAGGGCCGGGCCAGCCTGGCTCCGCCCTCCCCGCCCACGGGCCCGCAGCCAGCTCCCCTCTCCTCTGCCGGAGGCTCTTTCCTCCACCTTTCTCCTCTCCCGGAGGGAAAAAACACAAACCTCTAGATCAAGGTGACAGGCACCCCGGGGGCTTCTCAGGCTCTTGGCAGCAACCCCAGACTGCAAGAGGGAGGAGGTCCCCGCTCCGTGCTGACCCCTCCCTCCACTGACCCCGCGCGGAGCTCCTCTGGGAGCTGGGTCCGCGAGAGAGCCCCTGGCCCGGCCCTCGGGCGGGCATCTGCTCGGGGCAGGGCCAGGAACCACAGGCCACTGAGGGCCGCCCTGGCCCACTTGCTCTTGGAGACCCTACAATAGCCCCGAAGAGCCTGGCCCGGGGCCACCAGTCTGTGGTAACCCCGGAACTTGTTCCAATTCTTGTGGAGGAAGTTAGCCTCTGAGACATTCGCCAGCCGAAGACCCTGAGGGGGGTGGTCCACGCAACCCCGGGGCCCGGCGCCCTCGGGACGCCCCTCTCTCCATCTGGCCGGAGCCCGCGTGCCGGGTGCGAGCGGACACTCTGCACTGCCCTGAGGGTGTCCAGCTCAACCCCAGAGCTGCTCAAGGGACTGAAGGCCACAGCGGCCCGGGTGCGTGAGGGCAGAGCAGGATTACGGGGACAATCGATGCTGGAGGTGCCGGTGGCAGCAGGGTCCAGGCAGATGTGGGTCTCCCCGGACACCCCCCGCCCCCCAGCCCGGACCGCGTGTAGAGCAGGCACTCTGCCGCTTCTGGGCACACGGGGGCAGGGCGGGGGCCTCTTCCAGGGACGGTCCCCAGGAAGCAGGAGAGGGGTCCCCATCCACACAAGCACGGGGCCAGCGCTCTGCATTTATCCCCGAACCTCAAGGGACACAGCTGCCAGCTCGCTTATGCATGAACAACGGAAGCACAGAGACCTGGCTCCCGGCGGAGCCCAGAGATGGCAGAGCCAGGAGGCAACCGGTTCACTCACACAGACACCCCGGCTCGCCCAAGCTCACACCTGCTCACACCGTCACGCTGGCCTCACCACCACATTCTACACCAGCTCCCACGTCCCCCCAACACCCCGTCTTCCCCAGGCTCTGGCGGGGTCTCAGCCCACCCTCCCCCGGGGCTGGGTTCAGCAGCGTGGCCGCTGTGACATGTCCCCAGCCCAGAGCACCGAGGATGCAATCAGTCAGCTACCGTCCAAAGGGCAGGGCCCGGCTGCTGGGGTCAGAACTCGGAACACTGTGTCCCCTCTGCAAAGGGGGGCATTCCATATGCAAACATCTGTGCTAGGCCTCGTTCCGGGTGTTGATCCCCACCATGCTCAGAATTCTTAGAAATCGTCTCTTTGCTTGAAAATTCACTAATGTGATTTTATGCCTAAAAGCGTCTCCGGAAAATCTCAGGACAGAAATTCCAAAGGCCCTGTCCCTTCTCCCGCGCCCCCGGGCGCGTCTGTCAGAGGGTGGCTCCCTTGTCCGTCCAGGTGGCCCTGGGCCCTCAGCTACTCCCTGGGGCCACTCGCCGGTGGGGCCGGCCCCGCACCCACGGGCTCAGCTCACCTCTCAGGCTGAACCAGGGACCGAGGCCGCGCAAGGAGGGACAGCAGTGCCCCCACGCTCGTGCCCACACCGCAACCCAGCAGGGAGCCCCTCCACCCTCCACACCCCACCCACGCCCTCCTACTCCAGAGCTCGCCCTTCCTGCCGCCCTCCAGAGGCCACGTCCCCTCAAAGCACTGCTAGAGCACCATGCCATCAACCTGCTCAGAACACGCCAGTGCAGCTCCGTCCCCAGGACTCTGCTCCCCTCCGGGGAGCAAGCCACCATGGTGCTGCCATGCGAGCCTCTTCCACACACATCACACGCACCCACACTCACGCGTGCACATGGGTGCACGTTCCCACGCGCGCACACACGTGCTCACTCACGTGCACTCACATGTTCACACACTTCACATCCTCACTCACACATGCAAACTCACACGCGCACCTACATCCCCGCACACGCGCATGCGTGCTCATATGCAGACAACAGCTCCCAGAAAGCACCACGGTGTGGATCAGCTTCCCCTTGTCTGTTCCTCCAGCTGTGGCCACAACAGGCCCCTTCCCCAGCCCAGCTCCTGGCGACACGTGCTGCCGGGTCTGGACCCTGCCTCTCCAATGAGCTCTGTGTAAAGGCTCTTGTCTGGCTCGTACCACTGGGGTCGGTGCTTGTTGCTGAGGTTTGATAATCACCCCACGTTGCCCGTGGGGACAGAGAAGCAGGGGACTCCCATTAGGTCAGGTGCTACATTTCTGAAAGCACTTGGTTCTCGGAGGCCCCAAGCCCAGAAGACGCTCCTTATGGTCCATGCAAACCGCCCCAGCTGATGGACGCTGGGTCCCAGCCGTGGAATCCAGCCCCTGTGGCCACGGCCCACACCCGAATGCCCCATCAGGCCAGGAAGTCCAATGCCCACTTGGGCACCTCCAGCCTGAGCCTTGGGGAACAGGGTTTGGCCCCCCAACTTGGTGATGCTAAGTCAGGACTCTGGGCATCTATGAGCACCGAGGTTCCCTCCCAGCAGCCCCAGAACACCTCTCTGCAGCCCCAGCCCCCAGCACCAACTCCCAGTGAGGCACCGACCCTGAGGCCGGCGGCCAACACACGGGTCTCCTGCTGGCGCCATGACCCAAGTTGCTCCCTACAAAGTGTCCCAACCTGTGTTTCCCTGGGACTGAAAACTGAAAGTCTACAGGGAAAAGCAGCCCCTCTCTCTCCAAGCACCCCAGTGCCCCCCAGGAGACAAAGAAGAGGAACCCCCCCAGGGATGGCTCAGTGCTCAGGTCAATGTGGCCGGAAGAAGCCCCCCAGGACAGCAGGGCAGCCCCCCGGATAAAGGTCCAGAAGGCCAATGAGAGGAATCAGGACAGACCCGGAGGTGAGGGTGCACAGGTGGGGGGAGACGGTTCAGGTGGCACGGTGACCTGGCTCCCCACCCCAGCACGTTCACACGGCCAACACAGAGGCATTTCCTACACGCAGGAAGGTTTCCCGGGGCTGCCCCCAGAAGCCCAGAGCCCTGTGCCCGCTCTGCCCTCCCCTCCGCGAGCAGCCTGGGCAGGTTCGGGGTGTCTGAGCCGCCTTTGAGGCCCCGTGTGGGATGGGCCACCTCACACCCCTTCCGGATGGAGACCACGTGTGGACCCGCTGGATCCCCACGGTGGCGAGACGCACCCCTTCCTCCCGCCCTGCCTTCCGCCGGGGGTTTGTTCCATCTTGTTGGCCCGTCTGGTTTGGATTCCTGAATAATGTGGTCTTTTATTTTCATTTTTGAAAAAACACAAACACCCACACGTGAACCGAGAAAATTGGCTCTCCAAGGAACGGGAAGATGACGCTGCCTCAGAACTTCAGAGCACAGCTTTCGGGGGGCGCTCACCTGTCAGAAACCCTCCCACCGTGACCTCTGGCACAGCCTTCACGCTGAGGCCCCAAGTACCCTCCGGCCAGGCCTCCTGGGGCTGCCCACAGCGGGGCCTCTCCTCCACGACTGTCTCCCCAAGACCCTGCTGGCTCAGGGAGCCCTGGGGCCCTCTCTCCTGCCCCTCCCTCGGGGACCAGGGACTGCCCAAGGCCAGCCCCGGTGCGTGTCCCCCAGCCTCCAAGGAGCAGATCTGGGCGCCCAAGCTCCCCGCACCCACTGCCCAGGGACCCGCTCCCAGGTGGCCACACACACATCCAGTAAAGGTCCCTCCACTGTGGACACATTTCCGGCTCTTTCGAAATGAAAACATGACTTTTCATCTTTCTGTGGTGCAACTGGTTTATAATTGCCTAACACACCTAGACGCTCTGCCTAAACTCTGCGTCTCGTGGTGACTTTTTCGAGCACGATGATAAAAGACGCAACAGCTCCCCAGATGTCCCCTGAAGGCGCTGCTGCTAGGGAGGGGCTGACCAGCAAGCTTCAAGCAGGCCCCAGGCCCTGCACTGGCCTCTCCCAGCCACAGCCCGGCCTCGGGGCTGCCGTCTAGATGAAGGGGCATGAGGTGGCCAGGCAGCCAGGGCCAGGTCAAGGCCCACAGGCACCTGCCCTTCCTGGTGGGAGCTCAGTCACCTGAGGACCCCGCCTGGTTCCACTGCCCTGTGGGAGCACACAAACCCCAAAACCGAAGACGACGGCAACATTGCACCACCCCGTCTGATTTCTAACCACCAGGATGTCCGGTCCACCTTCTCCAATCAGTCCTTGGAGTGTGGTTCAAACTCCCTCCCTCCCCAGTGTGCAGAGAGCAGAGACCCCCATATTCACGCCCCCTCGTGACACAGCTGACACAGCCCAGCATTTCCACAGCCCATGGGGTGCGAAGAACCACCCCCAGCCTGCAAACCCAAATCCCTCTGCGGGTGGCATGAAGCTCAAGAGAACCCTGTTGGCTCCTAAGGGAGGGCCAAGCCCTGCCCAGCATGTGGCTGGCCATCACCCCCATGCTGGCCTGAGGGTGACAGAAACATACAGGAGACCCCAGGCCTCCTGGGGGGGGGTCCGTACAGCTCCAGCCGCCCAGAGCCCACCCTTAGAAGCGACCCTGGCCAGTGCAGGCCAACCGCTGGGAAGGATGGTCAGCGGACATGAGATGCAGTCGGAGAGCAGAGATTCACCAGGGTCAAGGGTCCCGGGGAAAACACGCCCTGTCAGCTCAGCCTGGCCACAGCGGCCACCCCATCCACCGCTTCCCACCTCCGGATGGAAGGCCCGCAGGAAGGCACTCGCCGAAGCCTGAATCTGAACATGGGGAAGCAGCTGGACAAGTCAGACCGGGGGCATTGCACGGGACCGCGGGCTGGACTCCCCACAGATATCCACATCGGGAAAGAGAAGGCGGGAGGGGGTCCAGAGCAAGGAGGCGGAGGAAACGGCCACCAGGGGCAGCGCGCAGGCCCCGACCTTCCAGGGCCGCCGGCTCCGTAAAGGACAGCACGGGGA